TTCATTGTCTATCCTGTTTGGCACTGCACTGACGCTCTATGTTGTACCAGGTGAGAGATTGCTCATTCTGTTTAGACAAAATACTAAACTAGTGCAAACGTAACTGCATATCCAAAACTCATCAAAATAGTGACGTTAATAACTCTCCGCCTAATCGATCCCTTTTCCACAACACACAGTAAATAAAAAATAAAATAGCGGACCGTATACACTGAGCTGGTCTCAACTAGTGGCCGTATCATAAGTTAGTATATCAGTTTAGAACAACTATTCATACCTGGAGAGGCGTAATGTTATTTTGTCATGAAGAGGATAGCCCAGATATTATATATGGCAGTACGCTTCCTATTAAATCGTGAATAGGTCACAATGACTTATGAAGTTATTTAATAACACATATGATTATATAAGAATAATATACTATTAATATAAATATATAGCCACTCATGATATACATATATTTATAATATAAATATATATACATTATATACACACACATATAAATATATATATATATTATTATATATATATATATATATATAATTAACATATTAAATATCAACTATTTATATATATATACATTATATATATATATAATATGTATGTATATATATGTATATTATAATATATTAATATATATATATATATATAATATATATTATATATATATATATTATATATACTATATTAATGTACTTAATCAATAATGTATCTGATATGCATATATGTATTACATATTAGCTATATATATATATATAACATATATTAATGATATATTATATACACACACACACACACACATCATACTACACTCACATACACACAACATATATGTATAATATTATATATAACACACACCAACTAAACCATATTATTTTATATATATTATATATATATATATATTATATATACTATATATTATAATATATATATATATATATATATATATATATATATTATTAGTTAGTGTTGTAGTGTGTGTGCATGTCGGTGATGTGTGTGATGAGTGATGTGTGCTGTGATACGTGACCTATATTATATATAATATATATATATATATACATAATGTATTACAATTAATATTAATACATATATAATACCATATATATATATATATATAATTTATATTAATATATATATATTATATATATATATATTAATATATATACATACAATATGTATATATATTATTATGTATATATAATATGTGTATATATAATATATATATATATATATGTTGTACTAATATATTGTTTTATAGTATTATATATTATATATATATATATATTAATATATATACATATTTATATATATATATATATATATATATTAGTAATACTATTGTGATAGTTGTAGTGTAGATGTTGTAATTTATATATGTGTAGTGCTGTCGATAATATACTTCATAAGCATTGCATATTCTATCGATTTAATAGGAAGCTGCTGTCATATAAATATCTAGGGCAGATCTCTTCATGAAACTTGGCGCCTCCAGGTTTGAATATTGTTATCAATATTCACTAAAACTCACATATATAGTTAAATATATAATTTATATATAATATATATATATATAATATATATATATATAGTATCATAATGTTATATTTTATATATTATACTATATATATTATATATGTGTGTGGTGTGTGTGGTGTTGTGAGTGTAGTAGGTGTTGTGTGTGTTGTAGCTGTAGTCGCATAATAACACTACATAACTACACCATCATATATA